TGATGAAGAACCACCAATGTTTGGCCCTTTACTACCTTTGGGAACCGGATCGCTAGCCGCTTCTATCCGTAGATCGGTAGATGTTGCTCGGGCTGAGAGTTTGGGACGATGTAGATCCGTAGATGGATCAAGAGAGGGGCTGACGGGCTGTTGTGTTCTGACTTTGTGTGGGCTCAGTCTCTAGACTGCAGGGGCTGATTAATAATATATTAATAAATATATGTATATTTAAAAAAGGAAAAAACGTTGCATGGGCCCAGGCACCCCCAGGCACCGAGGTAGTTCCACCCCTGAATGCCAACCCATCATATAAACATGTCCGTCTGAAAAGAAGCTGATTCGCTCTAGAACGAAACGAGATCGTTAACTAGGAGGTCGAGATACTATAGAAAACATGAAAGGTCAGGGTGGTCAAATACCCGGACTGGCTTGCCAATGTCGTGGTTGGTCGAAAGAAGAAGAAAAAGATAAGCAAAAGGCAAAATGACGAGTCTGCGTCGACTTCACAGATTTGAACAAGGCATGTCCAAAGGACTTATTCCCCGTGTCGCATATTGACGGCTTGGTCGACGCAACAACAGGGCATGAAATGTTGTCTTTCATGCACGCTTTCAGCGGGTACCACCAAATTCAACTGCACCCTTACGATCAGGAGAAGACAGCCTTCATCACTGAAACAAAGACTTATTGCTATATTGTCATGCCTTTTGGTTAAAAAAATGTCGGTGCAACTATGTAGAGACTAGTCACTATGATGCTCAAGGATCAATTGGGGAAGAAGATGGAAGTCTACATTGACGACATGCTCGTGAAATCTAAGGTGGCAGTTGACCACGTCAGTCATCAGCCGACTTCGTTCGAAAAGCTAAGGGAGTACAACTTAAAGCTTAACCCGAAAAAATGTGCCTTGGGAGTGTCATCGAGGGATTTTATGGTTATATCTTCAGTGAAAGGTGAATCGAAGCAAGCCCTGAACATGTTAAGACAGTTCTCGACATTAGGTCACCCCAATTCGTCAAAGACGTCCAAAGGTTGACAGGATGAGTTGCGTCCTTAAACCGTTTCATATCCAAGTCGTTAGATAAGTGTTGTCTATTTTATGACGTCCTACGAAAGAATAAGAAATTTGAGTGGATTGAGCAACATGAAATGGCTTTACAACAGTTGAAAAACTATATGGCGACTCCACCTCTCCTGACCAAACAGAAAGATGACGAAGTGCTCCAACTCTACCAATCTGTATTGGAACATGTTGCCAGTGTCATCTTGACCAGGGAGGGAGACGGACAACAATCTCCAGTCTACTATGTAAGTATGTCTTTGAACGGTATAGAACCGAGGTATGCTTTGTTAGAAAAACCAGTTCTATCTTTAATTACAACCTCTATTAAATTGCTCCTTATTATGAATCACATACTATTTGTGTACGAACTAACTATCCCATGAAGTCAATCATGAGGAAACCCAAACTGTCTGGACAAATGACTAAGTAGTCAATTCAACTGGGGGCATATGACATTAGGTATGAGCCAAGGATTGCTCTGCAGTCACAATCCTTAGCTGATTTTGTGGGGCACTTCAGCCCCAAAGTTCATACGGAAGTATAAAAAGAAACATGCCTTCTGATGGACGGATTGTCGCGGCAGAAGTGGACTTTGCATACTGATGGAGCGTCAAATGTGAACAGAGCAAGACTTGATGTTGTACCGAAGTCGCCACAGGGGGGTTCCATACTCCAAGCAGTCCACTATAATTTCAAAGCTACGAAAAACGAAGCTGAATATGAAGCATTGATTGTCAGACTTACCATAGCAAAGAACTTGGGTGTGAAACTACTTAAGGTAAAGTGTGACTCTCGCTTAATTATTAATCAAACTAACGGAATATATGCAACCAAAGACCCAAAAGTGACATCTTATTTGCAATTCGTCACGGCGTTGACGAGTTCATTTGACGAGATCACCATCTAGCAATTTATGAGGAAGGAAAAAACTCAAGCAGACTCTCTGGCAGCAATCAGGTCATGCTTGGGATCGGAGCACAATGACTACATCTCGTTCGTGGATTTGAAGAGTTCGGCTATATACAAGATTGAAACTGTCAACCTCATCAAAGCTTGAGCTGAAGATACCTGGATGTAACCCTACCTAGATTACTTAAAGCACAATACACTCTCATATGACAAGAGAGAGGCAAATGCGCTTCTATCCAAGGTAACTAAGTTTATAATTATTGACGCTGTATTGTTTAAGCATTCCAAAGCAGATTCGTATCAGAGGTGCCTGACGCCACAAGAAGCCACTAAGATATTAAAAACCTCCATGAAGGAGAATGTGGAAACCATGGTGCTGGAAGAAGTCTGTCTAACAAGGCTTCGAGGTTTGGATATTATTGGGCGATGATGAAGCATGATGCAATTGTTTCTACTTAAAATTGTGAACCTTGTCAAAAGCATGGACCGATTCGTCATCAGCCGTGAGAATCCTTGCATCCAGTATTATCACCTTGGTCGTTCATGAAATGGGGCACGAATATCGTTGGTATGTTATCAGAAGCACCCATTCAGAGAGTATACATGCTGGCAATGACAGATTACTTTTCAAAATAGGTCGAAGCAGAACCATTCCATCACGTACTAGAGATCAGGTGATATCGTTCATTAAAAGAAACATCTTGTGTCGATTTGGCATTCCGTCAGTGATTGTGTAGCGACAACGGATCACGGTTTATCAGCAATCCAGACAAGACGATTTTGCCACAAATATAATATAAAAATGGAAACGTCAACGCCAAGATATAACCAATCAAATGGACAAGCTTAAACTAGTAATATGATCATCATGTCCAATTTGAAGAAAAGACTAGAAAGAGCACAAGGAAGATGGGTTGACGAGTTGCCACTTATGTTATGGGCAGACAGGATGACCCCAAAAAATGCTACCAGACAGACTCCTTTCTCCTTAGTCTATGGGTGTGAGGCGGTCACCCCAGTCGAGATTGAGGTTCCTTTATCAAGATAAAGACTTATAACTAAGGAAGGGAACAATGTGGAGTTAATACATGACTTAGATACTATTGAGGAGTTATGAGAGAATGCCAAAGTCTAAATGCAAGCATATCAACGGATGCTGGCAAGGAGTTACAATAAGAATGTTCGAGCCAAAGTATTCAAAAGAGGCGATTGAGTCCTTAGAAGAGCATTTGGCAACGAGACAATTGGTAAGTTCAACCATAATTGGGAAGGTCCCTACATAATCATTTAAGTTGTCAGACATGGGATATATCAACTAGAGTCTCTTGACGATAAACAAGTTCCTAGGAGCTAGAATGTGGTACACTTAAAACCTTTTCATTTTTAATAAATCAATCTTTTGTTCATAATATTTAGTAAATATGAGTTTACTAACTTGACCATCGGAGGAACTTTGGCCTCAAGCCAATGGCCGACTTTGATAAATTCTTGATGTGCATGAAATTGATGGAGACAACAATACGAAAAACCGTCAATTGTACATCAAAGGCAATTCCTAGCACAGACGTTACGTAAACCCCAGGTACGTCGTCCTGAGAATACTGCGGGATGTTATGGGTTAAAGCCTCATGAATCCACATATTTTGGCCAAAATAACATCAATGTACAAACAGACATAAGTACACACAGATAACAGACATGTACAAAAAGAAGGATCTTCTGAGGCTACCCTTCTCGCAAAGCTTGGGATTAGGTCGTTTTCATATGGCCTTGTTGTGAATTCTGTGTATGAAAATGGTTCTGTCTTTAACCCAGAGGTCCTTGATTTGACTGAAGACGATCTGATCGAAAAGTTTACTTTGGGTGTTTCTATGGTCACATCACTTTCACGAGGTATCTCTTACCCAACATTGGCGGCTGCTCCTCACATTCTCACAATGGATACAAGAATGTCCTTTCTATTGCTGTTGAGACTGATTATTCTTTCTCAATGGGTGATAAAGTGAAGGAATATCTTAAGGACCCTTCTAAGTTTGTTGTTGCTACTGCTTCTATTTCCTCAACCGCTGCTGGTTCCACTCCTGCAGTTGCTTCTGAAGAGAAGAAGAAAGAAGCGCCCGAGGAAGAGTCCGATGAGAACATGGGCCTCGATCTCTTTGGTTAAAATTTGCTACCTTGATTTCATCATGGCTAGGCCTGAATTAGCTTATTGTTTGCTTATGTTGGAGTTGGTTATAATGTTATGCTCAAGTTTTGTTTTGTTGTTTTTATATTTTATTTAGAATATTTAGCAACATTATTTTCTCATCAATTTAATTCATTTCCTTGTTTGGTTGAAAAAAAAAACAAACGTGTATACATAGAAGCTAAAAAACGATAGGTGAAGTGACAAGTCTTGGGTAAACCACCAAGAAATTAGATCAATTTCAACATAGATGTGCATGTTGCATTGGATGTGTGGCATAACAGAATTACCTTTCCATTTTATCTTATTTCTTTCTTTTATCTTTTTCTTTTTTATCTTTCCATTTTATATTACCTCATTTTTTTTCTTGTCTTTCTTCTCTTTTTGACGCTGATATCATGAATTAGGGATATACCCAAGCAGTTCAGCCCGCTACTGTGCCGGCCCGGGCTTTTACCCGGTTGGGGCGGGTCGGGCGGGCCGGGCTCGAGCCCTGTATTTCTTGAACCGGCCCGGCCCGGGCTTTATTTATTTTTTTGCTTTTTCAATTTTTTTTGTTTTTCTTGATTAGGGCTAGGTGTTTTGGGGGGTGAGGGGGGGGGGGGTCGGGGATTAATTAGAAAGCAAAAAAAAACATAGAACCGGGCCAGGACCGGACCCAGTTTATGCCCAGGCCGGTTCCGGGCCCAACTATTTGAAAAAAAGCCCGCTTAGGCCGGGCCCGGAGCCCAGCCCGGTCCACCCCTATCATGAATGGATTAATGTTAATCAATCCCAAAATCCTTTGGGAAAAAGGCTTGGATGTTTATTCTATTTCAATCAACAATATCAATGTCAAACATTCTTAGATTCATCCTTTATCTCAGGATTCTCAGCCATTTAAAAAATTAATTCCAATAGAGAATTAGAGAGTATACAATTCAAATCATACATTTGCCAAGCCATCCACTGATGCCTATACTTTCTCTTTACCGGACAATAAGATGTTGTGATTCTACCCTCAAAAATAGAAACAACAAGAACGAGCAGAACCCCAAGGTGAAACCAAACCTTAGCTCCCTACTTCAGATTACAACAAGATTACGATGTCACGGGCAAAAAAAATGCACATCGGTTATAGTCCACTATTTTAACGTGTATTTCTGTGAAGGTACAAAGTGAGAGAAGAATGATTGGAGCAGATAAATGTATTGCTTGCACACATCACACAAGCATAGGCAATGTGGGGCATCAAGCATATGTATCTCCTATATGAAAAAAGGTCAAATCTTCTGGACAGCCTTGGATAAAGGCGGCCAAGCAATCTCATTATCATTAAGAAAACCTTGGATCAGGAAATCTGAGCAATTCTTGTGACAACCACGGTCATTGGGGTTGTGAAAACGCCCATCAGGATCACGAAGATATCCATACCGGACAGCATTAGCATACTCATTCGTTGTTATATTCCGTGCAATCTACATAACAGGAAAAGAGAAAATCATAGGGTATAGTGAATTTCCAGGTTCCATAGTCACAAAGCAGGTATGCCTAAGATCCTACACACAAAGGCTATGTTTGGAACTCAGAAAGTTGTAGGGAAAGGAAATAATACTAAGGCTTCTTAAAGCCATGTTCGGATCTCAGAAAATACTAAGGGAAGGTAAAAAAAAGTGCCAACATAAGTTATTTTCTTTTTAGTGGTTTTACATGGAAAAAAGGAAGATGAGATACGACTATTTTTTCAAATCTTTTACAAACCTTTAGGCTTCTTAGTTTTAATTTAAAAAAAAAACTAAATAAGTTTGAACAGATATGAAAACTAGATTTTTCGAGTTTGAGCGTGGCTTTTATTCTCACCCAAATATTTCCTAATCCATTTTCCTTCCTATTCTTTTCCGTAGCAATTTCTAGTCAAAACAGGCACTCTATGTTTGGTTGTTACTTGAAAAATATGGAGCATCAAATTCAGTTAAAACTTTCTACATTTTTACATGTACTAGAATTCTTAATCTCTATGTTATCAAACTAATAAAATGAATTTGGACAGATAATCAAAATTGATACATTGAGCATGAAGCAACACCCTCCCCCATAGCCTTCCTTCAAAATTTTCTCTATAATCAAATCATGTATTTCTATACACTTTTGCATCTTAACTTTCTTATCAAGCATCAAATTGTTTATTATAATAAATTAATATCACCTTGCTCCGAGCTCCCCCCCATCCAAACAAGGGCTTAAATAATGACTACGGAAGACTAAAAACCATCAAGGGAAGAGACACAGATAACAATCATATACCTGAAATGCTTGGACAGTGAGTAAAGTGAACGTAGCAAAGAGAATAACCCCATCCATAAAAAGAAAAGCGAATACAAGAGGATGATCAAATACCAAATGATGCACCCATATACCATCATCATCTCCTAATGCAGGTACAGGGATCCAGATTCCTTCAACAATGAATTGATTTATTAGGAATTTAGGTTATTATTATAACCATAAAGCCTTGAATGAATTTTAAACATAGGAAGTATTATGAGCTGGACATTTTACATACTATGTATGGCAACAACAGCCCCGATTAGTGATGTCATAGTACCCATGCAAAGGAAAATGAAAAAGTCTCTCCTATTCCTCTGTAAAGTTCAGGTAGATCAAGATCGAAGCAAAAGTTATATCAAAGCAATAACAATACTGGTAGATGTTTAACATTCTTGTTACCTTCCAAAAAATGCAAAAGTTATGTTCTGTATAGGTTTATATGACATTTAGACTAGAGGTGAAATAGTATGGGATGAATTTTATTAGATTTTTAATGCCTGGAATATCATAGTCCACTATGCCATTTGTGGTCCATAACAAATTCTGAAATTCACTAAGAAAATCAAATACATCCACATTCTATTTACTAAATTCCACTCATTACCATTTTTCACAGATCGGTATCGAATCCATCACACGCAGTAATGAGTATATCACCCTAAGTGTGTGTTTAGACTTTAGAGGGAGAGAATTGGAGAGGGGAATCATAAGTTTCAATAACATTTGTGAGTTTGAGAGGGGTGAAATAGAGAAGAAATTGTTGCCTTGGCTATTAGTGTCCTCTTGATTTCGCTACATTAAGTTCATTTGCTTGTTTAATTTTTTAAACCAACCAAGCAAACGTTATGTCTCTCCATTTCACTTCTTTTCTTTTCTCTTCTACCTACTTCCTCTACATCTACCAAATAAAGCCTAAACGAAAGGTCAACAGGGGAGTGTCCCCCCCACCCCCCAAATTACTGCTAGCATGTGTACAATTTCACTTGGTATCAATGTGGCTTATACCTTTCCCACACAATTTGATATCCAGGGGCAGTGATGGTCAAACTGTTCCACACAGCGGTTGCATGTCTTGCAGTGCTTGGAGCGAAGCGGCCTTATTATCTTCAGTGAAAGAAACTTTAAAGCTTTAGAAAAATATATACAATATTGCATCTCATTCGGTAAGATACTAAGTTGATGAGGAACCTGGCATGGAGGGCAGAGTTGAGACCAATTCCCAGTCCAAACAGAAGAATTACTCAGATCTATATTCAACGAAGTATCCTGGAGATTTGGTAACCTTGTCAGTTAATAATGCAAGTAGCCCCAATGAAATTAAAAAAAAAAAAGCACTTGAATTCAAGTTCAAGATGGAAGTTTAAGTACTTCTGAATCAGAATGTTTACTAGTCCCAGTCTTAAGATAACCTGGATCTTTACTGCAAACAACAAATATCAAACATTCATATCAGAAACAGAATATAGAAAACTTTGGGCAGCTTCCTGCCTACATAATGGAGTAGTAACTTGAAATAGGCAAGCACAAATCATGGTATACCGTATACAGTGGTCAGAGCCAACATAGGTTAAAGTATTAATGTGTCCCCGGGATATATCTATTTTTTAAAGAAAACACATACTCCCTCTGTTCCATGTCACAAGTCCCGCTTCTGTTTTCATTAGTTCCATAATTATGTCCACTTTCTTTTTTCTAAACACCGCTAACTTTTTTCCTTTTTTTCGCATTTTAACCTTTTATAGTATTTTGAATAGATCTCTTTTCTCTCTTTTCTCCCTCTCTCTTTTTCTTTTATATTTTATCTTCTTTATCTTTCTATGTTCTTATGTTATTTTTATATTTTATCTTTTTTATGTTCTTTTATCTTTTTATCTTTCTTATGCTCTTGTGTTATTTTTATCTTATCCATTTTATCTTACCTTATCTATTTATTTTACATATCTTTCTTCTCTTTTGGCTCTTTTAACCCAAAATCTTTTGGGAATACGGCTTGGATGTTGTTGTTGTGGTATTTATTTTGAATTGACTTTTGACACATATGCACAACGTTTTATGATTTGGATGAGGGTAATATTGGCACATATAATTTTTTTCCTTAATATTCATGCAGAAAGCAATTGGATCCTACAAATTTGGATAATTGATCACATATAATTTGTTTCCTTTGTATCCATGCAGAAAGCAATGGGATCCTACAAAACGAGGCAGAGGGGATAGCCGGGTAAGCAAATATAGGAACAGTTACCTGCTACACCGAACAAGCATTAGGAGAGATGCAACTCCAACGGAAACACCAATCCATCCGGAAAGTGCAACAACAGCAGTGGGCTTTGGAAGATTAGGAGCTAGCACAAGCGGCAATAAAGATACAATTAGTATCTCACCTTCGCAAAGGCATAATTCCGCTGCTGTGCGGAAAGGCATTGCCGCATTTTTGTGCCGAAAGGCATTTCCCCACACGAGAGCGACAGAGGGAGAGGGAGAGGGAGAGAGAGGGGGGGGGGGGGGGGGGGGGGGAGAGTCCATAAGTTTCAGACCACTTACCAAGAAGAACAGAACTGATGAATAGAATGATATTAATAACAACTACGCTGAATAAGATTGGGGCATAACCATTAGCCCCTCCTATTCTTGGACAAAATTTGGCTTTCCCTTGCTGGCTGTGTGCGCTTTCGGCATTAGACTGCAGAGGATCAAATAACCAATGGTTATGGTGAAATGAAACTCAACATCAGAGGATCGAATAACCAATGGTTATGGTGAAATGGAACTCGACATCCTCGATATAATTCGCGTCAAATCATGTACGTAGCTAACTGTATAAACTAAAACAAAATCAGTTCTTATTAACAGATAATAACATTGTTTGGTCACATAGCGGCACTTCAATGCTTTCATACCTTTCAAATTGGATTTTGCAGAACTGCACTTCACCAAAAATATAAATTGACCACGTCTGGTCCTCTCATCAATTTAACCATTAAAAATGTATGGAAGAGGTAATATGTGTGGCATGTGTCAAAAGTTTGAGGAAACAGTAGACATTTCTGTAATTGAATTACTCCACATTATCAACCTATGGACCGTGGCCAGGGGAATGGACTATGGAAATAGGATCTCGATCTGGCAACAAGACTCGACAGTTTCCCCTTCTTGTTTGTTTGTTGTAATTTGGTTGAAGAGAGAAACTGATGTAATGGAAATGCCTAGTTTGCCCTCAATTTTTTTGGCATGTGCAACTCATCACATCTTCCATCCATTATGAACATTTGGGTTACTAACAAGACTAGAACTTACGCTAAGACTATATATATATATATATATATATATATATATATATATATATATATAGAGAGAGAGAGAGAGAGGAATGATCTTGTCTAGCCGGAGGGACAGGACCCGCCGTCCGGCCGCTGCCGTTTTGAGCATGTTCCTCATCAAGTCTAGTTTATCCACAAAATATTTCAGCTAAAATTCAATCGGGAAGGCAGTCAAATAAATTCGTGAACATAACTGCACCAAAATATACATATAAAAACACAGTTATTTTTCAAATTTCATTTGACTGTCTTCCTGATTAAATTTTTAGCTGAATTTTTGTGTGGACAAACTAGACTTGATGAGGAACATGCTCAAAAAAATTCATCAAAAAATTCCACCGGAAACCGGTCCAAACGGTGGCGGCTGGACGGCGGGTCCTGTCCCTCCGGCTGGACAGGATCTTTTTCCTATATATATATATATATATATATATATGAGTAATCTTCAAGTCAAGACTTCCTGAGCAGAACCGCCGTTCGGACGCCGCCATTTGAGGTGGTTCCCGACTTTCCGGTGGAGGTTTTTGATGAAATAATGTGAGCATGTTCTTCATGAAGTATTTCAGTTAAAAATCGATCCGGAAGTCAGTTAAATAAATTATTGAAAAGCATTGCGCCAATATATATATATATATATAATTGACTTCCCATTTGAACTTTGAGCTGAAATTTTGTGAACAAAATCCACACTCCATGAAGAACATGCTCACAAAATTTCATCAAAAAACTTCAGTGGGAACCACCTCAAATGGCGGCGGCCGGATGGCGCTTCCGGTCAGGAAGTCCAGAGAATGTTCATCAAGCAGCCATAAGATACTTTCTGTTGCATGAAGCTCTACCGGTAACATTTTTTACACATGTTTTACGTTGCATCCTAACACTAGGCTTGACTAACTAAATCCATGAATTCACAGAAAAAAGAAAATCAGTGAAACCGCCAAGGACGATAATTTTGGCTTCTCTGGCACAATAACATAAACTGTGGAACACCAACCCCTCAAGTTTAAAGACAATAATATGAACAAACATATTTGTAGACAATTGCAATACATGAATGACTTACAAGCAAAAGGGCAATTTGCTGATACCCTTTGTCGGTTGCAAGTTTTGCAGGTGTGTAGCCTTCCCTATCTTTTACCGTCAATTCTTGCTTTGTGCCAGCATGTAACAGCAAATTGCATGCCTCTAAATTTCCTCTTAATACAGCCCAATGCAAAGGAGTGCATCCTACACCAATTTAAGAAAAAACAAAATTCTTAAACATGCTCTTTTGAAGATTGGTTATATGATTTGATCCATTAACAAGTTATGGAGTACTAAACTATGCGAGTAACAAACATGCTCATTTAAAAATCTTTGAAACAAACAAGAGTATTCATGGAGCATTGGAGCTATAGCAGATGTGTGAACTAAAAGTAAAAACAAAGTTCATGAAGATCTGGTCGTATGATTTGATCCATTAACGAGTTGAACAACTTATGGAGTACAGAGTACTAAACTATGTGGTATACCAAAATTGCTCAATTAAAAACCTATGCAACAAACAACAATATTCATGGAGCTACAAGTCTACAATGAATGTGTACGCTAGTTCGTGAAGAACTTAATAAGAGTGAAATGCAGAATTTCTCAAGAAAGATGTATAGGGAGAAGAAGAATAGCACAGGGGGAAGCTTTCTATTTATAATCCTTTGATAACACACACACACCCATATTAAGTCTAACATATTGACTAGCCCACTACTTATAAACGAGCCATTTACCAAATCCACTACATCTAGGATGTTTTTACTTGGACTGTTTTCAGTCTTAGACCAAACCAGACCAGATAAGACCAGACTAGACTTGGATAGTTATAAAATACACAGGGACCAAACGTTTACAGACCAGACCAGTTCAAACCAGACCAAATCAGACCACACCAGCAAATTTCAGTCCAAGTAAAAACATCCCTAATAACCAACCAACAACAAGAAGAACAATGGAAATAAATATAACAATAACAACAACAACAATAATAATTCTAAGAGATAATAACGACTAAACTAATCCTTGAATGCACAAATAGGACCATATTATTTATCTTCCCAAAATACGACTAAAGTATACCCTATCTTCCTATTATACCCTTACATAACTTAATAGGATAATGATATTTTAATTTGTAATAAATACAAAAATAATACAAAAAATCGTAAAAACATAAAAAAAATTCTGATATACTTTTGAAAAATACGAAAATAATAATAAAAAAAGTTAATTTTTAAAAAAGATTAAAAACTTTAAAAATAAATAAAAAATAGATAAAACACCTTAAAAATACAAAAAAATTATGGAGGCCTTTCCCACAGTGTCGCCCACTGCCCACCCAAGTTTCCCCTGATCGGCTAAAAAATGCCACTTTGTGAAGAAACTGCCATTTGTTCTCTGAAAATGCCATAAAGATGACATTTCTACTATTTGAAAATGTCAAAATTTTCTCGAAAACTTCCATTAAGATTGCATTTCTGACAAATGTTGGCATTTTTTTTCAGTGATCGGAGCTGATGGTGCTAGGAGGTTATTGAGGTGGCAGGATAGGACTACATATTTTTTTATCTTTTTTCATTTTTTATTTATTTTATTTTAATTTTTTTAATATTTTTTTAAAAAAAATTTTTTTTCGTTTTTTTTTATTTTTTATAATTTTATTTAATATTTATTTCGTTTTTTTAATTTTTTTACAGTTTTGTTATAAATAAAGTTATGTTATTACTTTTATATGTTAATTATTAATGAAATATGAATTGTATTATAACAAAGCAAGGGTAGAATGGGAAAGCTAGTCCTATTTAGGGAACTTTTAAGTGATGGTCCTATTTTGGCAATTAAAGTTTCATTTAGTCCTATTTGAGGAATTCTCCCTATGCTATAATTACTTCCGAGTTCCGACTACAGTATTACTTATTAAAAACCTAATGATTATAATAATTAATACTAGTAATAAATGTTTCACAGTGTCGCGGCTCATCAGATAGAGTCTTTCATAATCTGCAATTATTGTGGTTTACTACAAACCGATGTTAAATGGAGCACCTCTAAAGTGTACTATTCTATGAAACATCAAATTGGGAAAATGTATTATAATTTGCAAGTCAGCAGGAATAATTAAACACTAAAATAAAATGTGGAAGCTTCCTCTTGTTAGTAACCTACTACTTCCAGCAAATTTTAACAACATTTTAGGGATACACAAGACTTGAAACTGACCACTAGAATATTAAACAGAAAAGTAAAGAGCTAGCATACCATCTTTATCTTGTCTACCTTGGTAGGCATCCCTAAACAGCAGTAACTGGATGGTATCAGTAAATCCCTTATATGCAGCCCTGGTCAGAATTTGAAAATGAAGGGTATAAGAACGTATTTAATCAAGGAGCTTTGTCAGTTCAGGACCAGAGAGATAGGTATCAATTGAAGATTTTCATCATGCAAGAATATCAATTCAATTAAGGGGTTATTTCTATCAATTCAAGATTGAAAGATCAAAACTATCAACCAAGGACATGAGCGATTGCAACTATCACTCCAAGACTTTAAAAATCAAGATTTAAGATTCTTTTTTAGTTTTAAATATTTTTAATATATTCTTTATTAACATAAAAATAACATGAAAAATTAAAACATTCTAAATTTTGCAAACAATAATGTAAACAAAACATGCTCAATATATGACATAAGGGGAAATAAAGGTACCAGTGAAGAGGGCTTCTTCCATCATTATCCGGTACATCAAAGTCTGCTTGATATTTTGTAACTATGTGATAAATAAAAGCTGTTTGTCCACACTGTGCAGCTATGTGAACTGCCTGTAGTTTGCAGAGAGCAATACAAAAACACGATGGTTTGAAATCCAAATCATCACTCAAAGCAGTAACATCTGAAATATGATCAAGAGAAACTTACTAACTAACTTACCCGGTAGCCATTAGAATCAGCCACCTCGACCTGTGCCCCATTCTGCAACAATACATCTGCAGCCGCAATCGAACCACGCACAGCAGACCAATGCAATGCCGTCTCCCCTGTATTATCATTGGCATGCACATTTCCTCCATGCTATAACAAAACACAGGAAGTTTGAACTATTAAAGCATAAAGACTAACGATTTCGCTTCGTTCAACCTGCAGCTAACGTCTTATAACGAATAGGGATACCTCAATAATGTACTGCACAATATCGGCGAAGTTGTTAAGCGCAGCCCACTGAAGGGGATAGTAGCCATTTTCATCCGGATGAGCTAGAGAAACGCCGTCGTTCTCAACGAACTTGCGAAGCTTCTGGAAGTCTCCATAAGCAGAAGCAGTGTGTACATCGACCACGACTACTTGGTTAGGGTTTTGTTGACCAGTAGAGCTCTTCTGATCTTTGGCGTCCGGCGCGAATTCGATTTCAGAAGCCATTTCTTAAGCTTGAAAATATAGTAACGCCTTCGCTTGAAAGATTGGAGTTTTGTTAATTTACTATTAACTGCGATCAGCTTAAAGTCTGAGTCTCCGATGCATCGGAGAACCACGCGATTGTTGACTCTCGGGGAGGTGGAACCGGTGATTAGCTTCCTAGATTTTACGGTACTTTTTTGGAAACATTTTCAACGGTTTGAGACTTTGTGTATTCACTACAGTATTATTCAATGAAATAAAGTCAACTGTAGACCTTTTTGCCCATAAAATGTAAAAACATGAAAAATACCTGGGCACACCACTAACCTAATTACTTGTCCTATGCCATATCAACTCTTTTTAACTTCTTTTATAAAATTCTTTTCACTTATCATTTTCGGATAATTCAAAAAAAAATCTTATTTCTCTTTTTGGAGAATTTTGTGTGTCTAACATTCTTTTACTTTTTTCTTAGTCAATGTTGGACACGAGATGGACTCTCACATGTAACAAGAGAATAGCGTAGCTTCGGTATATGCAATGTATAAACTGTACACTTTGATCATTGAATAACCAACGAAAAATATTCCGCACATACCAGTTTATTTTGCTATCAGAACAGTGTTAAACGAATAACGTTCATCTCTTTTTCCGACGACTTTGACGAACAATGGCGAACAGCACAACCAATTCCTCTTCGCAGGGCCGTCTTGAGAGTTGAGGAGGCCCTAGGCAAAAACACTTTATATAATAGGAATTGACATATTATACGTGGTACTCACTTCGTCCTACTGGACTTTACCAAGTTTCCTTTTTTGTTTGTCTTAAAAAAATTTGTCACATTCCTTTAAAAGCAATGAATTTGTGGTTTTATTTATTTCTCTATCCTCTGCACAAATATCAATCACATAATTTTTATTATTCCAATTTCACACACATCCTCAACTTGACAAATAGTACTCTGTATGATAAATGTAACACCGTCCCCAAGTATATTTACTTTTTAGTAAATAATGTAATAAACCTTGAATGAGTTGATTTATGAATTTACGTGGTTGTAATTTTTTTTGGAAATTTACTATTAACCCCTTCAGGTTATGTCATAATTATTAATGCAACCTTACGTTTTCGATAATCAATTAGCTACCCCCTGAGTTTGGATCATTCTCATTCTTTGCCCCTCACGTTAATATTTGTTAAATTTAAATTTAATATAATTATTAAATTCAATGAAAAGTGTCTATAAAATTGATTTTAAATGTAAATTATTATCATAGTTATAAGTCTTTATTTTTCTACTTAGCTACTCTATCGTGGAATAAATATTATTGAGAGTAATTAAGAGAAAATACTCACGAATAAGATAGAAAAATATCATGAATTTTAATATTTTTATTTTAAAAAATTAAATATCATTTCATCTTATAAAACTAATAAACTTTTTACATTCAAAAAAACTTTTGTGAAGATAAAATCATCACAAATTAGTAACAGAGTTAATAAAAAATTTAAATAATTTAAAATCTATTATATTTTAGGTCTTGGATTGATAACTTTGAATTATTCAGATCATGGAATAATTAGAATAATCAAAATCATCACATATTTTATCTTTTAAGTCCTTTATTGATACTAAACCTGTCTTTCAGATCATGGGATGATAAAAAAAATCTCCATATATATTCTTTCCTACACACGAAAGAAATGTCATTGTGATTAATTCAACTAATAAATTACAAATAAGACTTTTATATTTATAATGAAGAAATGCCTAAAATTTTGATCACATTTTAGAAACAATTTTTTTATGTATCCCATGAATATTACTCGTGAGTCCTCCCCTTAACTACATACTCTCATTAATAGTTACTCCACGATCGAGTAGTATGTTAAGTAGAAAAACAAATGATCATCAACAATGACTTATAATTATGAATTTATGATAATAAATTGTATTATATTTTAAAAATTAATTTTATGTACAACTTTCATTGAATTTAAGAGGTATATTAAGTTTAATTTAACAAATATTAATGTGAGGGGGTATATAGTGAGAATGATCAAAACATAGGGGGTAACTAATTGATTTTTGAAAATGAAAGGCTGCATTAATAATTGCGATATAACCTCAGGGGGCTAAAAAAAATTCCCTAGTTCTTTTGCGTGAATAGCAAATTGCACGCAGGGCCCACATCGGGAATGGGGGCCGTCCGATATTTTCGAGATGACATATTATATTCATCTTGGTCTAGATAATATGTATATGGAGGTGGATATCCTAGTTGGACCGTAGCAAAAACATGGGGTTGACCGGTTGGTCAAACGAGGCCCAATTATCAGTATCGGCAATTTATTAGATATTAACCCGAAAATGAATTTCGAGGACTTCTAAATTAATGTTGGGAAAAGTATATTCATTCTAAGGCCCAATAAGGATTGAGAACATGTGTTATATTTTATTTGACCCGATAAAATAAAATATAATTAAAACAGTCAGGAAAATACAACTTTCGGAACCGATTGTACACTCGGAGACACAAAGGGTTGACCTCCCACATAAGTGGGGGCCAACCCACGTTTTGGTCTTGCAAATGAGAAGGGGAGCCGCACAAGGAAATGGGAGAAGGGGGTGTGAATTGATTGGGATCAAACAAATCAAGGGAATGGGACCCCTCCCATATTATTTCGGTGATAAATGCCAAAAAGGCATTCTCAATCACCCCAACTCAATCAGATCTTCCAACCCACCCAAGGAAGAGAGATAAGGTCTGCAAATACTCCATTTTCATCCACCATTTTCGCACAAAGCAAGGGGATGAAGAATGAAGGGAAAAGATAAGAGAAAAGGGGAGTTTAGGTGGGAAAATTTGTGTTTAGCAAGGTAATGACTCCATTAATCCCACTTCTTCTCTTTAATCATAATTTCATATCCTAGTCTTGTTCTGCATGTTTGGGAATGTAGAAGGAGTGGTTGATAGATAGTTCTAAGTCCAAGAACGGATTTAGAAGCCAAAGTAACCGGTTCGCCGGAAAAATAACCTTTTGAAGATTATTTGTATTAATATGGGTTTTATGATGATGAGACCTTATTAGGAACTTGTCTAAGGTATTTCTAGAGCTTTCACGGAGTTGAAAGGGTCGCCGGAATAATCGTCGGAGCTAGACAAAGTTCGTCGGAGTTTCGCCGGAGTTCAACCGGGAGGGTATAACTTCTTAAAGGCTTCACTAAGGTGAGAAGACGACTTTATGCTTTATAACTTTTGCATGAGGCATGAGATTACCTAAAGTAATTAAGAATATGTTTATGGAATGAGTAAAGATAATCAAGTATTTGTTATGCCATGATTATATATAAAACATAGTTGAAAAGCATGTTATATATGTTTGATGACTAAAATGTGATAAAATATTATGTATGATGTTTTAAGGATCCAAAATGGTATTTTCGGATTAAGGACATCAAGAAATACATGTGTATAAAATTTCACGTTAATCGGACTTCGTTTGGGCGGTTAAATGAGCTTTGACCGCCAAGTCAAAGGCTATACCCGACCGGTAATACCCGATCGGGTATTAGTTAAAAACAGCCCCAGAGGCTACTGCCTCATTATACCCGACCGGGTATGGTTGGATACCGAACCGGGTATTGGGTTATACTCAAAATGGACAGTTTTTGAGTAGGTTAACGTGGGTCGTTCAGGTGGGACCCGTCCACGTTGGTTACTGAGGATTATTATATGACTATAGGGCTAGGTATTGTCCATAGTCGAAGAAATGAAATGATAACCATATCCAGGTTAGGATTTGGTAGAGATTAGACTGGGGACTGAGTACCCTTGGGCGGTAAATGATCCAGAATACTCCAGGTGGGGCCGAGTACCCTTGGGCGGTAAATGATCCAGAATACTCCAAGTGGGGCCGAGTACGCTTGGGCGGTAAATGATCCAGAATACTCCAGGTTGGGGCGAGTACCCTTGGACGGTAAATGATCCAGAATACTCCAGGTTGGGGTTGAGTACCCTTGGACGGTAAATGATCCAAAATACTATAGGTTGGGTTGAATGCCTTGGACGGTAAATGATCGATCCTAAAACACTCGGTAGTATAGTACGAATGTGGAATATAGCTAGTGAGCTAGACATTCGGGACAAAGGTGAGAAAGGTCGGGTAATTAAGGACTTTATCTCTAAAATACTCTTTAAATGTAAATGACCTATGGGTTAAGTATTTTACAAGTATATATATAGTATGTATCATCGGGTGGATGAGTTACATCTATATATATGTATCACCCTATTTTTGGGTCTCGTGTCTGAAACATTAGTTATTCCTCATATAGCGTGCTTGTCACTAGTACTTTTTTCTGTGAAGTACTGACCCCTCCGGGGGCCTCACTATTTTTCAGGTTGAGGCTAGAGTCCTACTTCCTGCACCTTCGCCTAGGGTGATCATCAAATAAGGGAGACTTGGTTCGTGCTTCCATTATTATTTTCAAACATGGAACTTGCTCATGGATACTTCAAACAATGTTTCTATTAAAACATTTGGGGGCCTGCGTGCTCGTGTTTGCCACGTGTGGCTAAGTATCAAACATATATTATTTCCGCATTTGTTTGATTATGATATTGATGTTGATTGTATGTGTTTACTAATCGGTTTGGCAATAGAATCTATCGGACGCCTTGTATAATTCAATAAGGATGAACTATTGTTATTCTTATTAGGTTGTATGGCGGTTGTCTACGTGGCACGGATGCGGTCCGGGGCGTGACAATTAAATGGTATCAGAGCCATCGGTTTCTAAACTATACAATAAACCTCTCAATATTTTATCATCAAAATTTTTTGAACAAAACCATGAGCAAAAAGTTTTTGTACCTAAGGAACCGTTGGAAACCAAGTTATTGACCTCTTATTGTTAAGACAGTACCCTTAACAGTTTGTTGGCCATAATGTTGGACCAAGTGGTGTCTTTTGTACTATTCCATCAATCGACATTGAAACGAGTCTAATGGCTCATTCCTGATTTCCTTCAGAAATGGAGGGTGGACGCAGGATTACTAGGAGGAACCCAACGGGTCGTGTACCGGGGGGCCACTAGGCACGACACACGGGCTGAATCACGGACCTCTAGGGGTACAGGTCGGGGCCAAGGCCGAGGAGGAGGTCGAGGCAGGGGTCATGGGCGTTTTACAATGCCGACGGCAAGTAGTACACGAG